GGGCCGTCAAGGACATGCGGCCAAGGGCGAGTATGAAGTGCATGCCAAGTACTACGCATCCCACCAAGATTCGGCCTTGACGGGCAGCACGAGTGCGGTGGTTTGGACAATTGAAACGACGGACAAGGGCCAGAAAGACGTCAAGTTCGGCTTTGTTCGTTCGAACACACACAAGGAGAAGACCCATGTCGTCACCGCCGTGTGCCACGATGGGCCTGGTCCCCAGAAGCGTCAACGTCGTTAAAAGCCGACAGCGGGGCCTGCACTTGTTTCGCGCCTATTGCCTAGTGATTAGTTAAAGGCTATACTGGCAAATCGCTTCCTATTGATCTTGCGGTAACTCTCCATGTAGCCATGGCAACGATTCGGAGCAAAAACTGTAGACAACCACTGGCGGCCACTTTGACAGAACGCAACCAAGCATCGGAGGATCGACAGGATCCAAACAACCCAAAAGCGCACGACACACGACACCCCTTGGTGGCGGAAACACTTTTTTAAAAGCCACTAAATAGAAAATCGCGCATGCTAACCCACGAAGACTTTCTGTGACTAAGAGGTTGATCTCATTGATAAATCTTTTGTGAATGATTGGAGAGCACCTGTTATTGTGCAAGCCGCACCTGGCAACAATTCGTCGTCTCAATTCGGTGCCGCCACTCGACTTTACCAGTACAAGTACCACCACGAGCCCCGATTGGATCATTCGCATGACCGAATGCAACTCGCCTTGCTCACAATTCTACCAGAACTTTTACCTGTAAACCGGATGCGCAGCGAAGATTTTCTAATAGGTAAATGCGGTAAATCGTTCTAAATTCAAATATTATACATTTTTAGGTATATTGACTCCATCTACCTTTTTAACTTCATTATCCTTTCATACAACGTATGAGCACGAAGAGTTTCTGTGACTACTAAGCGGAAGATCATCAGATAAATCTTTGATCCATGGCTGGAGTGTGCCGTGTCGTCTGGCACCAAATGCTGGATGTCGAAGCAGCACCTGGCGTGCGTCTGGCTCATCGTCGTGTCCTCCCTTTGATCTCCCATAAATTCTGCCACTTTCTGTGTATCACGCTATTACTGTTGATTGCTGGAGTTAGCTTTTGACCAGTGTTGTTGGTTCCTTGTTATCTTCCTTTGTGGCCTCAAGCATGAAGACCTGTTTCATTCTTTGGTTCGTCGGGGCCATGGGTTGTGCTAGCCCAACCTTTGCAGAAACAAACCTACTTGACATGGGTAATGACCTCAAAATTGAGGGTCTCAATGTTGCCGACCTGAAGCAGGTTACAGTGGAGCTACCACGTCTCGATGATGGCAAGGTCAGGAAATGAATTTGCCGATTGTGCTCTTCAGCTGGCCCGCCCTATTCGTTCTTGCAGCTCACAGACTGTTTGACTTGCTTCTGTTACACTTCTGATGATACAGGGTGGCGTCCAGGAGTACTCGACTGCCATCTATGAAGTGATGGAGGGCATTAATGATGTTAAGAAAATTTTGCAGGTGCAAAAGAGCCTGTCAGTGGAAAAATCCACCATGGAGGATCAAATGAATGAGTTTGCCAGTGCCACCATGATGCTCCAGAAAGCTGTCCATGACCTCCAACAAACACCAGAGTCTGAGATGGCATCAGCTGAGCTCCAGATGCTCATGCAACAGGTTTCTCGTGAGCTAGAAAAGGCACAAACAGTAGCAATTGATGCAAAGGAAGCCACCATCAAGGCCAGTGCTCAACGTCGCTTGTTTGACGAGGAAGCTAGCTACAACGATAGCACTGGCAGCTACAGTGGGAGTTTGACCTCACAGATTCCAAAGAAATATCGTACTCATTCCAAGCTTCGCCGTCATTTTCACATTCATGACAAGATTGCCAAGGGAGACCACACCCATTTGGATCACATACTTGAACGCTTGTCACCAAGCTATGCCATGCATGGCCGTAGACTGGAAAATAACACTGCTGAAACCATGAAAGAAACCTGTGAAAAAACTGTTTCCTGTGTGAAAGAGTTCTCTCTCTATGACTTCGTTGCACACTTTTGTAAGACTTCCCTGATTTCACATGGTTTTGCTCGCTTTTCCGGCTGATTTGACATTATTATCTCTCACCCTGAACCTGTCTCTTTATCCCTATTCAACTCTTTCTTGCTTCCCATATACCAGATGGTGACTATGTCAATGATGAGGGAGAGATTGATGACAAAAAGATGCCAAAACAGTCTAATAATTTTGACTTCTTCACGAAGTTGGAGAGTGTCAGGGATGCTGTGAAGGCAATTGATGACAATGGCCTGAATCAGACCAACTGTGCCACCTTTTTGAGAGAGATGCACCAGTAAGTATTGTTGTTATATCTTGGGATTATATATATAATAATTTCTGTTGCCCTCACTAAACCACCTTTCCCACCCATGTTCCAGATCTGAGATGGTAGAGCTCTACAATAAAACTTACTATGACCAGGTCAGTACTGCTTATTAATGTAACGCTGTTGTTGGGGAATCCAGTACCATTGATTTCCTGTTCTCTGACATGCTACTGTGTTTGCTGCATGCAGTACAAAGGTCCAACCTGGCGGGAAATTTGTTCGGCCGAGGGCACAGCAAAGTACATAAAGCTGGAACAAATCAAGAAGCATGTTGGGTCTAATGTGGCATACCACTTGTTCGAGGACATGTCTTTGTGTGCTAACACTATAGGAGATCCTGTCCTATTTGACAAGAAAGGCCTAGCTCGTGTTCCAATCCAACCAAAAGTTGACTCAAGTGCTGCTTCAGATTTGAAGAACTTTGACAAATATGGTCAGCCCAACTTTCCAATCCAAGTTGAATCATTCTTCAAGTTTGTAAGTCTCGAGGTCTTGGGTTGCTGCGCCTGGAATTGGTTTTCCATCTTGGTCCAACAACATCTCACACTGAACACTTTTGCAATAGGAATCAATTGACATCATTAACAATGAGTACTTTGTGGGAGAGTGCTACAACAAGACCAATGCCTACTTCAAGGAAATCTTGGAAAAAAGTAACTTCAACATCACAAACACAGGTGCTCTGAAGAGGACTTACCCAGAAAAGATAGTTTGGGATTGTGATTGGATTTCAGCTGTTGGCAATGGCTACAGCAACTGGGATTGCACAGTGAAAATCGATGAAAAGGACCTCTGTGGGAAAGTGAAATTTGTAAACAATGTGCACCCTTCTACAGGAGTTGCAGATGGTGATGGGATCAAGACGCAGAGCATCAAGAGCTCCATCTATGAGTTGGGGAGCTTTGACATGGATGATGCAGTTACCCTGCTGCTAGGTCCAAAGACCAGTGTTGGGTTGGTGTGTGCCTATGCAGAGACCAAGAAGGATGCCCCTGGCTACTGCTGCCTGGATCAACCTTGGGAACGAGAGGGAAAGCTGTTTGGAACAAGTGTAAGTTGAATGGAAAGGTCCTCCTCAACATGATTTGACACTCACTTAAACTGTGCTTGTGTTCAGTTTGAATGCAGAGAAACTGAATCAGCATGCCAACATGTGGCCAAGGGCCTTGGTGGGTTTTCAAAGGGTAAGATTCATTCATGCAAGTTCCACGGGACAAACAAATCTGGATCACTTTGCTCATAAACTCTTGCACTCCCACATGTTTTCCAGAGTCGTGTGCAGTGTACTCCGGAACCTACTGCTCAAAGCCCACTGACTGTAGTCTCTTGAAACAGTGTGTTGCAGATGAAGTTCAATGGGCAAGAGAAAACAACAAGACTACATACAAAGGGTTTTTGTTAGACGCCCCAGACCTGAAGGATGTCACTAGTGTTGATGAATGTGGAAGATTCAAGGAGTATTTTGGGGCAGAATCAAGAGATCCTGACCTGTATGGAGTGTGCGAGGATATCCAGTACCTCAGGTGAGCATTTGATGCATGTGGAAGTTGTATACTGCTGCCACAGATTGTTGCTCAATCTCCAAGTTTGTCTTGGTGAAGGTACAATACAAATTTTGAAGCTCTAGATGCAAACAAACCTAAAGTTGCTCAATTGGCAGAGTTGCCAAAAGGAACAGCACTGGTGGCACCGACAGAGCGTGAGTGTATGCATCTCTTGACACTTTGGCTTCACAATCAGTCATACTAACCTTGATGGTCGTAGCTGAAAATGGAGATGACTACTTCAACACTTGGATTCGAAGCATTCTTGCCCTGGAAACAATTACCAATACTGCTTCAAAGGTTTGGGAGGCAATCAAGGAAGCCAAAGTGACCTGTGAGGCCATGCCTTTTGATTTCTTGAAGATACCCTGCTTAATTGCTTGGTACGTCTTGGTAGTCATTTCCTTTTTGTCCTATTGGCTTGGTGAGCAGGTAAGTTTGCCTAGTCCTGTTTGAAATCAAAGAGCTTGTGGACTTATACTGACAACGATTGGGTTTCTCAGGCCGTGGCAATAGCCAATCAACAATATGGCAATGCACAGATTAGTGACAGGCAGATGTATGTGATTTTGGAAAACACCAAAGTGCTCTACAAAAATATGAAAGCTGTTGATGACAATGTGGCTGCTAAAACAGGTGGCCTTCAGGCTAGCTTGACTACAGTTAATACTGAAGTTGGCAAGATCCAAACGGAGTTGGCAGCTGTCTACAAGCTCATCAAAAGTGGCTCTAGTGGGTCAAGACGAAAGCTTGGAACCAGCCTTTTGGAGACTGACATGACTGAAGGCCTCGACAGTTTTGACAGCCAAGAAGTCTATGTCCCTCCTTCTCTTGGTTGGGAGAAAGACCAGGAGACGCAAAGACTCAGTGTTCCTGGTAAAGTCTTTCAGTCTACTGATCAAGCAATCCAATTCCTTCACAGCTCTCTAAGTTTACAAGAAGATGGGACCAAGCTGGATATCAAGGAGGTTGATGTTACAAGTTGTGAGGCAGTCTTTGATGTCCTGCCCACTAAGGAAGAATCTGTGGGCAATGCCACTTCAGTCAAAGCTGCAGTGGACAGCAAAGCACCCGCTGTGAGCTGTGGCTTCTTCCTGGATTCCTCTGTTGCTTCTGTATCCCATGATGGCAAGACCCTTCTGCTGTCTGATCAAGGGACTGGTGGTCTCTTGGATAGCAGCTTTTCTTACGCTGTTCAGGTAGGTTGGCTTCTTTCTGGACTTTTGATCATCTTGTATCAATTTAGCTTCTGGGCTAACCTGTTGCACTGTGCCTCTTTCATAGGATGACTGCTCCAAATCTGTTGATGTTGATGTAACTGTCGTCACTAACCAATGGGATGAGAAGACTAGCTGTGTTTTGGTGGAATCAGATTCGGATGAGGCCAATATTCTGGTTGCCCCAACAACGTAAGTGTATTGTCATGGAATTCCTTTCACAACCCAATTTATGTAAGAGCCAGTCTGATGACCACCACCACCACCCCCTTCCATAGGTGCAAGAGCAGAGACAGCCTTTGCTACTCCAGCTCTAGTACCAATGAGCGCCTGTATGAGATTCGTGTTACTGCAACCGATGCCTCTGGGTTGGTGGGAAGAGATACCTGCCACATTGTGGTGTTGCCCTCGGATAGTGTGGAGCACAAAGAGGCACTCTCCAGCATAAAGACATCTATTCGTGGTGCTGGGCCGGACAAAGTAGCTGAGCTCCTTGCCTCATCTGCCTCTACAAAGAAATTCAAGGTTGGCAGTCTCCAGGTTACAAAGGAAGGAGAGAGCTTGTGAAGTGCTTTGAGTGAGTCTGGATGTAGTACCAGAAGAGGCAATGCCAAGATGAAAGCAAATCCAAAGGAAAACGAGACAAGAGCAAGATGAAAACAAGAACGAAAACAAGAACGCCGAACCCACCCATCCATTGCCAGGCCTGACATGGCGGAACCAGGGAGGCGGATTTAGTATATGATTACATGCAATACATGTTTAGGAGAAAACCAAGACGAGATGCCAATGATGAAAGTCGAAAGATCAAGTTGATGTTGGAATTCAAACAAAACCGCAATAATGGGCAGAAACAAGCCCCCGATCACAGCAATAGGCGTGATTAAGTAATACATAATAGCAATACGAATAATGGACTCATTTTATTTGACGTAGGCGCATACGATGATGCTTGGCCTTGAGGGAACGAGGGGACACAAGGGGAACGGCATACTAAACTGCGACGCAGCAACGCCAGCATACGATGTCATCATCACACTACGGGTACACGGCAAATCACCATTTCCCAGACTGATTCATTGGCGGAAAAGCACTCTACTGCCAATCCTGAACGGGCCATTTGCGAGACTCGACTCTTGTGCATGGGTGGACAGGAAGGAGAAGCAGATCGAGCGGGAGGATCCTTGACAGCTGCGCTGGGAGCCAGCACGACAATCCAAAATCTTTGGTTGTCGAGTTTTTTGGTGCGAGCCTTGCTTTCCCCGGTATCTGGGATGATCTCTTTAGAGGTTTTGGTGGCGTGTGTCTATTCACGCGCCCAGTTGTTGGATGAAGGGTTGAAAGTTCTAGCTGGCGGCATCGCTGGCGGCATCGCTGACAACAGATCGCTGAATCTAGCTAGTTCCGAGTTCGAATCGACGGGCCGGCCGATACGTCTCGAAGCTTCGACAAATCACGTCCATCCTTTTTAAAAAAAGTCTTGCCTGGTTTTTATTGCATGAGTCACTCGACTGTTACTCAGGGCATTAACCGAATCTGATTACGCCGGTAGATGCGGTAATATGTTTCATTAATAAACTTGTTCATTGACAAACATTACCTTTCCTATCCTGCTAAAATTAAGCTGTCTTCCCGATTGAGCAGATCGACGTTTTTGTTTGTTGACTGTTTGTTGTCAATAATAATTGGTCTTGTCCAGTGTCCACCTCTTCGTCGATCTATGACAAAAACAAAATACTAATTAGATAGTAACTCCCCATTTATACTAATTAGATATACGTTAAGGAGCTATCGGGCGGGTTGTGGCCTTTTCTTTCCCCCCAATTATACGAAAATTTGAGAGTTTGATGGTGACGGGGGTTTAGAGTATAGGTAGACTTTACTCACAACAGAAGTTTTTAAACATGAACAACCCTACAGGAAGCCCAGCAACTGAGAAGCAAGTCAAGGGACTGAGGAGGCAAGTAAATGGTACTAGTACTACAACAAACCATGGCAATGTTGCCACCATGGCCCCACTCGTGAAAGGTGGGCTACGTGGAGGTCCCAGAGGGACCACTGTTGGAGCTCAGTCAGTCACCCCTGATAGCGACAACAACAGCCCAACGGAAACATTGGAATATCGAGACAGTACAATGAACAACCCTACAGGAAGCCCAGCTATGGAAAAGCAAGTCAAGGGACTGAGGAGGCAAGCGAAGGCTCCTAGTACTGCAACAAACCATGACAATGTTTCGACAATGGTCCCACTCGTGGAAGGTGGGCTACGTGGAGGTCCCAAAGGGGGCACTGTTGGAGCTCAGTCCATTACCCATGACAGTGACAACAACAACCCAACAGAAACATTGGAATATCCTACAGTTGGGGCACGGACAGAAGCGCAGCAAGAAGCAGATCAGCAAGTCACACAAGAAGATCCACAGGAAGGCTTTGTGGTTGCTGCAGAGGCAACAAATCCCAACCCTAACCCTACTGATCCAAGTGAAGGTGACCACCCCGCAACAGAAGCTGTGACAGCCTACACTGTCAATGATCATGGGAATGATCTGGAAGAACAACCTGAAGTTGTCGTTGCTGCCCCATTTAAGGAATCCAGATTCTGGAGGGGCTTAGCTATCTTGGCGCTGCTTCTTGCTATTTTGGTTGGAGTTGTACTTGCCATTGTCTTTACAAGGAACAATGGAGATGATCTGGCTGCTGCTGGGTTAGGGCAGTCAGGCATGGCATTGTTTCCAATGATATCTGCATCCCCAACCGGATTTCCTTCCATGGTACCGACTTCTGAACCTTCCTTGGCCCCAACAAGATCTCCTCTTCCATCAATGGCCCCATCCACTGCTCCAACAGGATTACCCACAGTGGACTTTTGTCACTTTGGCATCAACATGACCTGTGCGGAACTCTACTCTGGGGAACCCTGTGAGACTATCTACCCTGATTATCCCACTGCAGATGACTTCGAAAACTGTGAAAGTGATCCAATTGAAATCCTAATTTCATACACAAAATTGGATTGCATCAGCACCAACAACTTTCCAGGATTTGAGCTTCTGCTTTCATGTCAAGACTTCAATGGGGGACCACCCAACCATGAACATGCTTACCTCCTTGTCACTCCCATCCAAAACAACAGCATCGTTTATTTTGAAGGACCGGTTCGCCGTTTTAGGCTATTTTCACTCCGGAATCCACTGTTGGAGCCAATCTCAGAAACTCTAAATTTTTCTCTTTATTCTGTCAACAATGATCATTCAAGCACTGGAATTCTCCTACAAGAAGTAATCGTTGAGTTCTCCTGTTCAACAAGTAAACTGCAGGACTTCTACGGTGCAACACTGTTCAGCGCCATGAGAAGCATAGAACAAGGATATGTTTCATCCATTCATGTAACCAACCCTTGGTTTGAATTCAACTTCCGGCTACGTGTGGCCAATGAAGGGGTCTCCTCAGCAATCATAACCCTTCTGACTCAAGCAACCAATTTTAAACCATTCTTTTTTAACTTCACTGATTTGGTTGCATCCAGTGATGCCAAGGGACTGCTCCATCCAGGTGATGAAATGGTTTTGGAATCAATCATTTCTGTGGAACTAAACGATGAGAATCACTTTAATTTCCTTACAACCATCGCTGGCATTTCAGAGGGTAACACAGCTTGCAGTCAGGTGAGCCTCCTTCAAGTCACTTTTGGGCGCCGACTTCCAAGTATCTTTGAGTCAGAGGGTCCATCCAGTACGCCCACAGGGGCACCAACAGGCTTTCCCAGTATCATTGATGAAACAACTGCATTTGACGATGTGAATTCAGGAAACTCCATATCTGACAATTTTTGTGACATTAATGCGACCATTGAATGTGTTGGGAAAACTCTCCGTGGTGCTGAAGAATGCAGCACACTTTTGGCATGTCCTCATCCTTTCCCATCAGCACTGAACATGACTTTTTCGGGGCAAAACTGTGGTGACACGTCAGAATGCACCGACTTTTTCCATGGTGTAGCCAGTGTTGATCAAGCACTTGTAATCATACAAGTGCAGGACAGCCCGTTGCTGGAGCAAAATGTCACAAAGGGTGAAGCAATCATGCTCCAGTCTGACTTTGGATTGGGTCCATCCATCGACATATTGGTTCTGGACATCAATCGCACTCGACGTCTCCAGCAGCAACGACTTTGGACCTGTCCAACAGATGATGCAATAGTGGACACTCCACATGGGGCCTTCACGATCAATGCCATCGCTCCGTCTATTGCAAGGAGACCACTTGCAGCCATCCAAGTGCAAGTCCGCATTCGGAATAATAGTGGCAACAACGACATTGCCAACTTGACAACAGCAACAGCCAGCACCCCATCTGGCGACAGAAATTTGTTGCCAGACCCATTTGTTCTCGTTGCCCCAGGTGACGATGTTGTGCTTCCTCTTTCCAGTGACCGAGTGGACGATTGGATTGCCAAACACCCCCACGGAAATCTTACGATGTGGTCAGCTGTGGTATCTGGTGTCACCGAAGGTGGGCAGCGTTGCCGGGCCAGTGACTCTCTTCAATTCTAGCTACTTCATTCCTATTCTATTAGCTACCTTGTAGTTTGCACAATTCATGTACTGCACTACTAATTTCCTACTTCTGTCTCTGTACTAGCCAATTTTAATCAAGCTCGAGCCGTTTGGTGAACTGCAACCACACCGGGCATTCTAGAGGAGGGAAAATGGGTCTGCTAGAGTACGGTAAAGGGAAATTACAAAACGTTTGCTCGTTTCCTGCACCGGTATGGTCAGCAAGCCCAGATTGACCAAGGGCTTCGGAGCAAAGAGTGTCAATCCAACTCCAAAGCACTGTCTCCGTGAAAGGAATCACTGTGCCTGCTCTACCGGTACCCGACAATCGAAAGGCCAGTTTTGCTTTGGGAGAACAAGGGACGAATCCCTCAAGTTGATTGACTCTCCCCACGATACCTGGGAGAATGACAGCTAGCGAGTAATGAGGTTTGGTATATAACTCTAGCTAGTATAGGAACCACAATTAGTTACTGCTTGTTGACACCAAAGAATCCTCATGATTCTCTGCTGGAGGCTTTGGGCACGGGCTTAAGCAGCAAAGGGAAACCATAACAACAGCAAACTTGTCACCATCCAAGTTGAACCAAAGATGCATCCGTTCCTCGACGAAACGCTGGAACTCGTGCTATCCGATGCACCATTACTGCTTGAATCTCCATCCTCCTCGTTTCCAGCATCGGTACTACCAGTGCTATTCCCGGATTCCTCACTGCCGTCGTCGGCATCGCTATCACCAGCATCGGTTGTTGTCGGATCATCATCATCATCCTCCGGCACAACTCCAAAAAAGACCTGAACGCGTCTCAACAGTTCTTCATTGGCAGCAATGTGCCGTGCCATTTCTGCCAACGGCTCCATGGTGTTGTTGATGATGGTTTGTCCGGCAATAAACGTCGTAATGGGTTCGTTCAAATTCAACACTAGGATTTGTACGTTCTGTCCCGCCCGGATCCCGAACGCAGGATTGTCAATTGTCGTGCCCGTCAACAACTGCGTGGTCATGTTGCTCCCTTCAATCGGTTCCAACGAGTCGATCAAATCTTGTTCGCTCAGCGTGTCTCCAAAAAACTGCGCCGACCGACGAGGCACTTGCGACGACGGGATCCAAATGTACTCCCCCGGGGCAATGCCGTCATTGAAATCGGTGGCATAATACTGCTGTAGCTGTGCCGTCACGTAGGTGCTGTTAATGTATTGTTGATTGGTATTGGTGAGTACCATTTTGAGTGTTTTGGTCAAATTGGCGTCGGCTCGTTGATGATACTGCGCGACATTGATTGCCACGGATGGATTGTCGACAAACCCACCATCGATAAACCATCCATCGGTAGCCCCACAGGGTTCTGGCCATTGTCCACACACGGCAACATTGTCCATAATGGGTGCATTGTAAATGGCCCCCACGGCTAAATCATACCCAATCAAAACAGCCAAACTGCTCACTCCTTCGGCTTGATGAATGCCAGCTCGTGGTTGGGACCATGCGTGTGCAAATGTGGATGGAATGGTCGGACTGGCCGTTCCGACCGCCGCCGAACTGCAGGATGCCACCTGTGCCACATTGGCGGCGCCACCAAAGGGGAGTTGCATAATGTCGGCGTCGTTCGTAGTGGCATCCGTAACAACAATGTCGTCCGCGGCAATAATGGCCGTAGGTTCATCGTCGGCATTGAAATTGGCGCCAAAGAGACTTCCCGTGCTACCGGGATATAAAAAGTAGGGATCCCACGTATCAAAGTCAAAATCGGACGAGACGGATTCCGCACCCGCGACCACGACATTGGACGAATCGGAATCAAAGGTGGCATATTGGAATCCGACAAAGGTATCATTGACAATGTAGGCGGCCGAGATGGGGACCGTGTAGAGATTGCCCACGGCGGGTCCCAAGTAGACGGTCAAGTCTTCGGTACTGTTGACGGTTTCATTGCGGACTCGGGCCGTAGGAGAGAGTGCCGTTTGAATCAGCATGTCCGTGTTGGGCAGTGCCTTGCCTTGCGCCGTGGCCGGCGTTTCGTTAAAGTTTCCTTGGTGACCATAGTCCATGGCGGCTTCTTCTAGCATTTGTCCAATAAAACTGGTCCAATCTCCTTCAAAGGCTTGAAAGAGATCGAAGAATTCCGTCAAATAGGCGAGCGTGGTATCTTCAGTATTTGTCGTTGTGGTGGTTGTTTCATTGGTGGCAATATCGGGGTCCAAATCAGACGTGTTGGTAATATCATCGAGGGTTTCTTCCGGCGTGAGAGGAGTGACTCGTTGGAGCAACTGTCGGTAGGATGTCATCCACTGAATGGTAAAGTCGTACAGATCCTGGGGTGATTCGGCCATGGCCGTTTGTTGGTAAAATGCCGGAGAATAAAAGAGTTGCGTGGAAAACCAAGCGCCTCCACTGTTGGTGGCCTAAGAAGAATTTATAGAAACAGTGAAACAGGGATAGAAGTTCAGATGCGTTAGTTGGCACTTGCATTGCAGTGTGACTGAATACGGTATAGTCTATAGCTATTTGGATAGACTTACAATTTGCGCAAAACGTGAAGAATCCTGGTTGAAGAGTCCGGCTTGTCGAAACAAGTTTACGTAGCCCACACAGGCAAACATGGCCCGCCATCCTCCTCCTGTAGAACTCCACACAAACACTTCATCCTCGGATTGGGCGTTGCAAGAAGACGGTAAAAGACCGTGCAATGACAAGCACAGCCAAAGCACGGCAAACGGGATGGAGCGGAGCATGGTGTGCCAACTACTCAGTAACTTTCAACAACTGATCTCAAATTTTTTAAAATGGAATGACTACAGTATTGTGCGATGCTCAAGGCCGTGTCAACTTTTTGAATGGATGACCAGGGAGATCCCAGCAGCAGCATTATGCAGTCTCGACAGATGTCTCAACCTTCCAGATCATTGCAAGGCAACGGCTTCGCAGGAAAGATCCAATCACTTTGAAAAAATGAGCATGACGTCATCGCAATCTAGCTAGCAAAGACACGGAACTTGCATTGCTCAACAGCCAGCACAGCGGATGGCACAGACCTCTTTTTATCTCCCTCCTCACCGAAATAGCGCAACTCTTTATTGTTGAACCGAAGCCGGTGTCAGCTTATTGCAAGAAGGGCATCAACAATTAACCGATGCAGCAAAAAGAGTTCTTGCTTGTCAGAGTTCTGGTTGTGTGAATATTCCTTATAATATATACTTTCATCCTGCATTTGAGTGAACAGAGAAAGGAGAGGGAGCAGCCCTATCACGTCTGTTGACTTTTTTGTGCATCCGAGGACGTCCCTCGATCCGTCGTCACTCCTATACGATTTTCTAATTTGGTATCAATGGCTGCTCCATCAGATCAACAGGAAGGCGAGGGGACTTCACCCCACCAACCAAAAGGCAATGGTGGACATCAAGAAAAATCATCATTTGACGAACCAGCGTCGACGCAGATGGATACTCTTGGTGTGAGCGTCCATCACCTCGAACATATCTTCTTGGAGAGAGAGATTGGAAAGCCAACAAGGAGTGCCATAACAGAGAAATGTCTGTCCAGAGAATCAAAGATCTATGATATCGAGGATCTGCAAGGTCCTCCTGGAGTCATCCGCAGCAAAGGAATCAACATTGTTTGTCCAATCGATGGAAAAATGGGTGCCGCTTATGTCCATTGTCTGCAAGGAGAGGATCATGTGGGAAAGGCAACTCATATGCTCAGCTATTCCTGGAATTACACGATTGGAGATATTGTGAATACTCTAACAGATTTTTGCCTCCAAAACAACCTCAATCCAAAGCGAACTTACATCTGGATGTGCTGCCTCTGCGTAAATCAACACAGAGTCGTAGAAAATTCCACTCAGCAGAAATCAGGAATGATTGCCCCTACCAAGATGGATTTCTTTGCCATTTTTGGAGAACGCGTCAAAAAGATTGGTCATTTGCTGGCCATGATGGCTCCATGGAAAGCACCCATCTACATCACTCGAGTTTGGTGTATTTTCGAGATCTTTACGGCTCACAGGATGGGTGGTTGCAAGGTGGATATTGTCATGCCACCCAAGGAGAAGCAATCTCTAGAGCAGGATGTTGTTGATAATGAAGGAGGCATCAATACTCTCTACGAGACACTTGGCAACACTAAAGTTGAAAATGCCAATGCATCAGTCGAAAGTGACAGGCTGTCTATTCTTGGTCAAGTACAATCGGACGTTGGATACTCTGTGCTCAACAATCTAGTCAATGACTTGTTGCGTGGATGGATGCAAGGCGTCCTGACTCAGCTGGTGGAGACCAGAGAAAACACATACGATAAGGACTATGTCGAGTTCTGCAACCAAATTGGGGTTATCTTAAGAACAAATGGAGAACACAGTGCAGCAATGAAACTCCACCAGACTGCTCTGACAATTTGTGAGACTGTTTTGGGCAAAACACACGAAAAAACTGCAGAAACTTACAGCAACATTGGAGAGGTATTGCATGATATGGGTGACTATGAAGGTGCCTTGTCGAAGTACGAGGAAGCGCTTGCCCTTATATTGTCAGTGTTTGGCGAGAATCATTCTGATGTCGCCTCTGCCTACAACAACATTGGGTTTGTACTCGATGATATGGGTGACAAAGAAGGTGCTTTGGCCAAATACAACCAAAGTCTTGCCATAACAAAGTTAGTATTGGGCGAGGAACATGAGAATGTGGCAACCACCCACAACAATATCGGTCTTATTTTGGCTGAGATGGGTAACTTTGAAGGTGCTTTGTCAAAGTATGAGGAAGCTCTTGCCATCATGTTTTCAGCATTGGGCAAGAATCATCCCAGTGTGGCATCCACCTACAACAATATTGGTTTTGTTTTGGATGAGATGGGTAACTATGAAGGGGCTTTGTCAAAGTACAAGGAATGCCTTGCTATTGAATTGTCTGTATTGGGAAAGAACCATCCTAATGTGGCAGGAACCCTCAACAACATTGGCTCTGTTTTATATAGCATGGGTGACTGTTCTGGAGCCTTGTTGAAATTTGAGGAGTGCCTTGCCATTCGGGAGCCAGTTTTGGGAGCAGATCATCCCAACACGAAGAATAGCCTGGAGTGGATTGAAGTTATCAACGGAAAAATGCAGCAACCTTGATTCTGTGGCTAGTTTGCCTACTCTGCTGTTTGCACTGTTAATATACTAAATATGATTTGTTGGGTTGTCTTGAGCAAGTCATTTTGGGTGTGTAGGGACTGTTGAACTTTCCATGGATCCTGCACTTTTGTCGGAACCTACTACTAGTAGTCCTCTTCTTTGCCTAAGCCTGGACCCCCGCCCGTCGGCCTCTGTCGGCCGCCGTACTAGTAGGTAACTACTTCCCTGCTCTAGCTAGCTAGACCCCTTTCAAAAACCAATCACACAACTCGTTTTGGTTCGTGCCAGTATGAATTCTTGTCCGTCCACGGGCATCATCTCTTTTCCGACCACGTGGGTTGTCTTCAACTCGTTCTCGGTCTCCTCTTGCTACCCTTCTCATTGAAGCAAATTGGGAAAATGGGTGTCTGCTTTTCATGGCTGCATCTGCGTTATTATAATTGGCAAGGAACAGCTTATTGTTGCGTCGATGGATTGATTCACGACATGAAAGCCAACGAACATCACGAAGGAAGAAGCCAATGGATCCTCTAAAGTCGTCCAGTTGAGGCGGAAGAACCTCGATTACAACGGTACGAGAAGCAGCCAATCCTCCAAAATCCAAAGGAGCTGTCACTTGGATGGGAACGATCTAGGCGGTTCCTAGTGCATCTTTGAGTCACAGTTGGCGTAGTCTTTACGTGAGTAGTTGAGAAGGGAGGCAACTGTGTTTATTGTCTTGGGAAATGAGTGTCCATAGTTTTGACCAATGTCTGCATAGAAAGTCTGTGACGAGAACTGGTGGACACTTACTTCTGAAACCGTAGTTAAATCCGTTTTGAAGTAAATCAAGCTACTCGTAAGGCGCAGCAGCACCTCACTGGTATTGATAACGCTCTCACCACCGCGATTGCTGCACACAACCCCTGCAACAGATCTGTTCCCCATCACGCAACAGATCCATTCGTCACGAACGAAAATGAACCCAGGAACCCAGGCAAAGAGGACAGCATCAAAGCCATACCTCTACCTTCATACCGAGACTGCATGATCCTTATTTGTTACAACAAGAAGTGCAGCATCAGTTGAACATTACTAGCTAGTACTAGTATTAGTAGTTGGTTTGTTAAGAAAGATGGAGAATGACAAGGTGATGAAGATGGAGGAGGAAGAGGAAGAAGAACAAGATCGCAAGCTACCAGCTGTGGAAGACCATGGGACTAAGAGAGGCAACGAGAAGCTGCCCGTAGGTCCCAGTAGCAGCACTACGTGTGGTACTAGTACGGAAAGAACGGGCATGGTGGCCGTGGGAGTGACAGTAGCTGCTGATTCTATGGTCGTTCCAGCCGTTGCCTCTCTCCCGCAGCGGACAGGTGACCATGATACTGGTACCAGTGCCGGTACTACTAGTAGTGCTGCCCTGATCAAGCAAGACATGGAAACCTTTGCAGCTGTGACCAATGCCTTGCCATCATACTTGCCTCAGACAAATCCTCAGACAAATCCTCAGACAGAGGCAAAAATGAACAAAAAGCAGCAGTTGATTCAAGATGATTCTGAGCTCATTCAATCATGGGCACAAGCCACTAGCCACAATGGCACAAGCACAAACACAAACACAAACACTGACACTGCATCAGCTGTTACTCCCACAGCCAGAGATAATTCAAGGCCAGGGGCTTTTCCAGTTGGAAGTTCCTTGTTGGATCCACAAGCAGCCACAAACAATAATCTTGATCCAACTGACATGGAAAGGGGGACTCTGCCCGAACAGGAAGAAGACAACAGTGGACTCATGGAAGCCAAACCAGTCCAAGAAGAAGCAGTCCCCATTGAACTTCCCACCGCACAAGAATTTGATCAGGAACGTCATAGAGCCACCAAAAGTCGACAGCAACTTGTGCTTGCCATCAAAGGCATGGTTGTGGCCATGGGACTCCTCGTCTTGGTCATTGTCATTCCAGTTGTGCTCCTCCGAAAGGACACCAACACTACTACCACCAATCAGTCTTTGTCAATGGACGAGGATCAATCCACTCCTTCCAACCCTACCGTCAGCACCACCACAACCCCATCCCCCAATAATCGAACACAACTCGAACAGCAAATGCGGAGTCTGTTGCCACCCGAAACAGTGGAACGGATCAATATAGGAAACACCACGCCACAAGGGCAAGCCTTTCAATGGCTCGTACAGGAACCACTACCATCTTATGCGAATGATACAACCACCTTGCCGTACGATTATCCTGATTGGAGACTGGTACAACGATTCGCCTTGGCCACACTCTATTCTGCCACCAATGGACCCAATTGGTTCAACAATGATTTCTGGCTGGATCAGCATCATCCTGAACCTGATGACAGCAACAGCAATAGTAGTAATAGTACTACAGTCCGCCACAAAAGCAGCGAGTGCCACTGGTTCTCACGATACAGCTTTAACATTTGGCCCTACGATCAACCCCAACAAGAGTCTGCTTGTGACGACGACGACAATCATGTCTACACCAAGCTATCTCTGCATGAAAACAATCTGCAAGGAGAGTTACCGCCCGAAATATACCTCTTGACGTCCTTGACTAGTCTCTCGCTCTATGCCAATCCACGATTGCAAGGAACCATTTCCACTTGGATTGGTCAGCTGACAAACTTGCAGCGCTGGTACATGGCCGGTTTGAATGGCCTTTCGGGGACCCTTCCCTCGGAAATTGGAAAGCTCACCAACATACAAGACATTAGCTTGATTCACAATCGACTCACCGGAACCATCCCCACCCATATTGGGAGACTTGTCAACTTGACCAACTTTTTTGGAGATGGCAATCACTTGACGGGGACACTCCCTTTGGAAATCGGTGGGTTGTCCTCCAGTTTGCGACACTTTTATTTGTTTGGCAACACATTGACAGGACCGCTGCCTTCCGAGTTGGGGAATCTGGCCGTTGTCGAACAGATTGCCCTGGATGTCAATGCCTTTTCGGGGACCCTTCCCACCGAAATGGGTCGTCTTACCAACCTGGACATTTTCAATTTGGGGGAAAATAACTTTGTGGGACCCATTCCTAGTGAACTAGGTCTCTTGACGGCCAAACTGGGACATATCAAGCTGTTTGACAATCGGCTATCGGGGACACTGCCAGTGGAGCTCGCACAACTGTCCTCCACCTTGCAGCAGCTACGAATACATCACAACCACTTTTCGGGGACCCTCGCCAGTGAACTGGGGCTCTTGACAAACCTGGAGCGACTCCTCTTACAAAACAATAGCCTATCTGGATCCCTCCCTACAGAGCTAGCAGCATTGAGCACGGACCTGCTAGTGATGGATGTTAGTGGCAATCCCGGCTTGTCCGGGACTATTCCAGATGCTCTGTGTGATGTTGGGTGGAATATCACCTGTCCCTATTCCTCATGGGAATGCAAGCTGTCGTTTGATTGCTCTGTGGATCTTTGTGGTTGCGACTGTGCATGCTAGCAAAAAAAGTGGTAGAGTTCGAATCAACGAGAAGGCTCCTTCTTATTCTTATCGTTCCAGCGTGCCCATGGGCTGTAGCGCGAAACTATGTAGATAACACGAGTTGTACGATCCGAGCGATGTAGCCGATAACTTGCAACGCAACGATCCCATGCTCGTGGCTGCTGTTTGAGAGAGAAAAGTTTCCACGGTGCGAACTTCCACGAAGTAGAAAACGGTAGATTGGACCGCCCGCGATGACGCATCGTATCGAATGACAGGATTCCATCAACAGTTTCGTCGCCCCGACGAACTCTCATTCTAGTACATGTGGAACTCTAAGGGTTCCGTGCAACATTTGACCTACGATGGCAGCAGCAACAGCGCACTCAATGATCTCAAGTGTCGGACGAATGTCAAGCAATCAAACCTGTTAATTAAGTGCAACATGAAAACTAAGTAACTTTCTAAAGGGTGGTATTTCTTAAGGACTCGAGGGCGCCAAATGCACTACACTCCTCGGAATGTCCATCCATCTTGTCAGCTCGAACTTAAAGCTTCTAAAGGTTCTTCTCACCGCTCAACTTTGCCACAAACCAGTCCACATTCCAAGTTGGGGCACCATAGTGCACAGTCAACTTTTTGTGATGTTCCAAGTGCCCATGGGTGGATACCCAAAAGGATGGCATGTTCTGCTCCGACCAAGCTTCAATCTTGGGGGTGTGGATCGACAGATTTGTAAATGATGTAATGTAGAGTGCCAAGCGGACAGAGTCTTCATAGGGATTAAGAATGGCACCTGCCAAAGCAAAGGGTAAGATGTATGCCAACCAGTATTCAACAAAACCCACAGCATTGGCCACCATGGGAGTCACGTCTGTGTGGAAACGATGGTGGAACTTGTGGTACTTGTACATCCCAGGCGCAGTATGAAACATCTTGTGAGCCGAGTAGTAGCTGATGCTTTGTACAATCATGATTCCCAGCACTTGGAGAGCTACACTGCCATAGGAGTAGTCTTCATCCACTTTGCGGACAAGGAAGAGAGACGATGCCATGTACACGGGGATTCCATAGAGGTAATGGTTGATAAAATTGAGGACAACGGCTTGGAAGTAGAGTACCTTGTTGTTTGAAAGGATGATTTTGGTTGTACCAAATGAGTAGACCTCCAAGAGAAGCGTGGCTGCGATTGTGACCGTGGCCACCTCGAGCCCTCGAAGAAAGGCTTGGTCAATTTCTTCTTGAGGAAAGTCAAAGACATCCTGGATGGAATCCATCATGTCCTGCTTGCTGAAAGCACTTGTGATAGTATCCATGAAATTCTGCATTGTGATGGGGTATAGGAATAATCAGGGTGCGGCAAGAGGCTTGTTGGGTCGCAGCAAATGGAGCGGAAGATCAAAGAATGAGATGAGGACGAAAGAAAAAAGTAGTGAGAATTGAGAGCTCGGATCTTTCGCACTGACACTTGACACCAAAACTTCTGGCAGGCGCGCAAGTTGGTGACAAAAAACACCCACTTTTTACAACATCATCACAGCCAAGCCATCTTCGTGCGCACCCATGAGATCGATTTGGTACTGGTACCGAAGAAAGACTCAACAACCTATTGCGGTACTGGTGACAGCCTAACTTTTCCATTTCGCTGTCAGATCAATGGAGAAGTGGTCCTGACGTCGGCATCAGTCAGGAGCTTTTTGGAATTGGTGGGGTAAAGAAGGGGGGAGCAAGTATTGTCTTTGTTTCAGTCACGTTTTGCTAAAATCGGATGAGCTGAGTATTTGTCTAGCTAGCAGAGTACAATTTGGTTGAGTAGAGATTCTTTTGATCTGGTACCAGTAGCAGGGAAGGTCTGGCGCACTCCATGTCAAGGAGGTCCTTATCAGCCAAGCTGGCTATTCTCACCGCAATTGGAAAGCCCTTGTCTTATCGTTTTGTGACAACTGAAGTAATAGATTTCACGTTACTGTTTACTGTTTTGTGCTTGTTCGTAAAGATTTTGTTCCAAAATGATCCACCCCTTGCATCTAGGCAGCCTCGAACGGGGTGAGGCGGGACCAGAGACTACAGGTGGATTGATGCAGAGAGCCAGTGCTAATTTGCATTGCATTGCATTTTCTTGCATTGCAGTCACTTCAATGCCGGCGATAGCCCTGGGCCATTTCCATAGGTTGACGACGCCAAGCGACCTTCGTCCATTTGTCTCTGAGCATCCAGGAGTTTCGCCTTGGCGTCCTTCAATACATAAATTCCCCTCCCATAGGTGGCTGCCACCAACCGATCCGTTGTAGGTTCGTACTCCACATTTGCTGTCAAAACAATGGGAAACTCTTCATATGTGCCCAATCGGACCCAAGTTGGGGGAGGTGATGGATCAACCACATCGTTGCTTGTTGTCGTGTCTGGGTCATCCATGTCTCGCAACGATGCTTTCACGAAGGTGACCATGATGCCATTGCTAGATCCAACCATTAAGGCGTAATGTCTATCAAGATCTACCAACAGGATCCCACCAGGCCGCACTTTGCCCACCACACCCGATGCCTCTCTCAAGTTTCCAGTAACATTCTTCCACGATTTTCCCGCATCGGTGGTGAAAAAGACTGCCTCCTCTCCCAGGTTGTCTTGAATGCTTTGCCATCCGGTGACGGCCATGACACGAGAGTCTCGTTCGGACAATACCGACAAGAAGACCGTTCGGGCATGTGTCACGGGACCCAGAATTCTCGCTCCTGTGTTCTTGTCATAGTCCAACGTCAAGGGGATCGCAAAGGTGACTGGCAAAGGTCTGATCACCAAGCCTCCATCGTCGCTGTGGTCAATGAGACTGCGTACATGTACATGCGTATTGGATATGCCCACAAGCAGATTTGGATCCGGTGTGCCCGCCGTGTAGCCACCCGACACAAAGTTCATAATCATGGACCCTGGCGGAGTTTTCATTACCATGGTTGGAGGCCCAATGTCGTCGGGATCTTGGACGGTGTAGGGAATATGCAACTGATAGATTCCGCTGGGTCGTTCGTCGTCTCCACCGGTCCTGTTGACCCAAAACTGAAATAGTGTCGGATCTTGGTAGTTGAGAGTAAAGTGATGGACAAAATAGGGAAAGGACGATGGTTCTGGAAAGTACTTGTCCACAGGGATGTGAATGCTCTTGTCGCCTTGCAGAAAACAAATCCCACCACAATCGTCATCGTCGTCGTCATCCTTCAACACTGAAGAATCTGGATCATTGTCTAGAGTATCTAATCCCAAGAATTGCACGGCTCCAAAGAGTCGACTAGGATTCGCCCGACTGTCCACGGCCGTGACAGTGCCATCTCCCTCGATGAATCCAACCGCCTCGTCGTGTGAGTTGTCGCCACGGACCACCAGGACGCAATTGTCCTGTGCTCCCGCCACGTAACGGTCTTGTTGTGGATCGTATTGTGCCGTGAGCACTTCCAAGCCGCTATAATCTCCATTGAGTGACACCCAATATCCCACGGCCTCTCGGCCAAAAATGCCTCCATCGGACACCAACAAGAGGCGATCGAGGTCCGAATCGTAGGCAAAATTACGGCAATCTGCATGAGGAATACCAGTATGGTCGTCCCAGAGAGGAGCCCATACTTGTGTGGTGATATCGACTCGCCACACCAAGGCTTCTGCATTTCCCGCCACATAGATGAAATCAGAATCGTGGGGATCGAGCAGCAGTGCCATTCGATCCTTGGGCATGGAATCCTGATCCAATCTCATGGGCTGTGGTAACGTGGACCACGGTACAGGTCGTGGTGGATAATCGCCCGGATCGAAAATTCCACTGACAAAGATTTGAGAATCGGTGTGATTGGAGAGACCACCGGGCAATCGAGTTAGAGCTCCAACAATGATTTTGTATCTGCCACCTCCTGGTGTAGATATCACTGTGGCACATGTATAAAATGGTACGGTTCCCGGTGTCTGCCATGGCAATGGTGGGAGCTCTCGAAAGGACCTGCGAGAGGTGCGGGAAATAGAAACAGTAGTGTTGGTGGAGTGTGTGTGGGTAGCCAAGATCCAATTCCCACTAGGATCAAATGGGAGCAGGGAGAAGGTAGGTCTTTTCGAGACTTGCTGGAACGATGTGCCGTCATAATTGTCAGACCTCCAAATTCCTCCCTTGTTTCGATCCCACAGGTGGGATTGCGCTGCCACCAAAAGGACAGGTTTGCCATCATTTTCTCGGACCACATAAATATCCGTAACGTAGTAGTTGACTGGGAACCCATCTACCATAGACCAAGTGGTACCCTGATCTTTGGATACCATGATTCCTCCCCAATCACCCGAATTGACGACGTTCCAATCGTATCCTTGCTCGGAAGACGTGGATCCACCACAGCCAGCATAGACTATCATACCTGGATGGCCAGTACCGGAAGTATAATTGAGAGCCACATGCATGGCCGATATGGAAGAGCAGGTGACGGGTTGTCCATCGAGGACATTTTCCCAATGAGGATGTTGACTCATGGGTTTGGGGGTTCGCCAAATACCCCCATTGACACTGCCAATGAACCAATAATCCTTGGATTCCACCACAGTTTGTACGGCAGCCGCAGAAGCGAGACCTTCATCCTGGAACCGGTAGGTCGTGGGACCCGCAAATTCCCATCCAACTTTCTTATCATCATTAGGAGTATGATCAGTGTGCTGACGAAGACTGGTGGCACCCAGGGTAGCACTGCTGCCACTACCGGTACTGGTATCTAGTAGTGTAAAAGTACCTGTAGCAGATGGTAAGGTAGATCTGACCGTTGCTTTTGCAGCAACATGTTCCGAATCTTTGTATCTTTTATTCAAGCACCACTGGCCAATGGTACCAGTAAGGAAAACAGCAGCCAACAAAAAGAATGCGAAGAGGATACCAGTCCTAGCAGTAGGACTGCGAGCACCCGTGCTAGAAGAAAGGAATCCTGTCATCTTTGTTTTGCCTCCTAAACTATGCCTTGGCGGTTGTGGCTCTGTTTTGGAGGGGATCTTTGGATTGCGATCTTTGGATCTTTTGTAAGCCAGCAAACATGTATGCACATTGATAAACATCAAACTACCGCAAGACAGTCTAATTAGAGCTATGGTGTACCTGTTAATTGCATGACGAGGACCAACAATGGGGCCAAAACATCGAAACCAGCCTGGAATGAAGGTGTAGAAGGGGGTTTAGAGTAGAGAGGTTATCTACGGAAGTCATCGAGGGCCAGTCTTGGTTAGGCAGAGAAGAGTCAAAATTCAGGACTAGCTAGGTTCTGTAATCAGGGGAAATACATGTAATAAAAGGAGGACCACACTGGTAGATTTATTACGGCAAGTTTCTCTTCCTACTTGTAGTGTATCCAATAATTTTCGTGTTGGAAGTTCACGGATCCAATTCATTCAGTCAGCAAGCGCGGGACGACACTCTTGTCTGTGCTGTCGTTTCCAATCCTCGATTTGGTGGACCCTTCCACAGTACTTGACGGCCTTGCACTTGGTACAAGCCTTGAGGCGGATGGTTCTTCCACAGACCCGACACCCCCGAGTCTCTAAAAGACACTGCGGCGCACGGGTGTGGGGCTGTAACAGTGGATTTGCTGTGGCATTGGGGTCGGCATGCTGGGATGGAATATTGTAACGTCGACAAATAGCATGACGCCACCGTGCCATAGTGTCTCGTTGGCAGATACGAACGTTATGGATGGTTTGTATGTGGGGGTCATCATCCTTATTGGCGCTGATTGTTGCTGTTGTTGTAGTGTCATCATCCAAAGACGTGAATTCCGTCATTAATCGATCGAATAGTGCTAAATGCACATTCCCAATTTGCTCTTGCGTAACGCTGTTGCCCCGCAACCGTCCTGTTTCAATGTTGAGTTGTACCTCCTCGTCGTTCATGAGGTGGCACACCATGAGAAACTGTCGTAGACTCTTGAGCTGTTCGGTTTCTCCTTGAAACATGGGAGAGCGCATATACGGTCCCAGTGCATCATGGCCCAAGTGAAACATAAAATCCCGTTCAATATCCTCCGGTGTAGAGGGGAACTGCAATATGCGACATGCCTTGGCACGAAGACTGTCGCGAGGCGCCAAAGTTTTCGAGACCCGAATCATGAGGACATCGAGGGACGCCAGCGGATGGTGGACGACTCGTTGGGGACAATACGCATAGCGAATCAGACAGGAAGATGCATGAATATCGCCATAGGAAATGATGAATTCTTGGTTGGGCGCAATGTCGTGCGTTGCCACAACTTGCGTACAGGGAATTCCTCCTGCTTGGCAGTTGCGAATGTGGACATTAATGTATGGTAGGCAAAAGGACGGCAGTCCATTGATCAAGTCTACCAAGGGAATGATTTCGGGTTCTTCGGGTGTGCTGCCTTCATGACTGCGCGAGCGAACCAAGGAACTGGCATAGAGAAAGGCGTCCCATAGATTGTCTTGTAGGGTCTTGTTTTCATCTTGAAAGGCAGGTGGAAGGAACTGGTGGACAATGTCTTGCTGTTCTTCTTTATTGAGAAGAACTGGCAGGACAATCAAATCAAAGGCACAGCGAATCGAGTTCCAGTACCCTTCCAACGTGTGCAAGGTAAAAGTTCCCTTGAGGAGTGTTTGCAAGTTGGGATTGGATGGATCCCAAAGAGGATAATACTGATTCTGAAAGTCCTCTGGAGATGGCCACGCTTGGGTATACGGCTTTTGGTCGACTAAATCGTGGAGAATGACCATGGCCAACAAAATGTCGCCATGCGGATACACGCTGTGGTTGCTGCCACCCGCCACAGCATTGTACTGCGTCCGAAGGGCCTTGAGCACTTGCATTATCAGTTCTTGCGTATTGGAAACAGCATCCTGATTATGATTGGCATTTGCATTTGCAATATTGGTCAAGGAAACTCGTTCTTGTTGAGGAATTCTCAAGAGAACGGTACCGTTGGGAATGGCTTGGGTAGCACAGACAGATACCCCATTTTCAGGAGAGGACACAAACGACACGGCAGGGTTCACATAAAAGGCACCCAATTCGTTAGTCTTCTTGGTCTTGTCATTCGTCTTGTTGTTGTATGTCTGCTGGTAAAAGTCAATGAGACTCTGGATACCCTCTTGGCGAGTGACAGTCGATGCCATGGCTGCCTTCTTCTTTTTCTGTGATCCAAACTGCTACTGAACTAACCAACTATGTGCACTTCGAAAAGAGACAAAGACTTGTATCGGTACTCTAGCTAGTAGTAATAGTATCGAAGCCGCAGCGTGGAAGTGCATTGGATGTGTTGTGGCGTCATTGGATGTTGCGGATCGCTTGAGATGAAGCCCGAACCCTACTGGAGTATCAACAAAGATTGGAACAAGAGGAGCTCTCGTTGGCCCACAAGCTGGCCATCGCTACTGCCTAGTAGCCTCTGGAGGTAGCATCACTCATACATCGTTACTACCGGTAAACTTTGCAACCATTGCTTGCTCCCACAAAGCACAATGATGAGTGTCCTCCCTGGCCAGCAGCAGCCTGCTCTTGCTATTGGATCCATGATCCATGAGCTATCCATGGAAGCAACTCCCTCTACACTCATGTCCTGTGGCCGTACATGTATGTACTAGTAGGTTTACACGTAGCAGACATTTTCCGAATGACAATCCCTGATGAGAAAAAGGGCAGATCAGGGGCAACTGCCAACACCCAACTCTACCTGGTATCCAAGATTCGTCGGCACTGACGTGCTTTCGGTCATCCTCAAATAGTCTACTAGGTAAAAACCTGACCTAGCTAGCTAAAGATACCGGTACCGGTACCAGATAATAATGTTCTGCCTGCCTGTTGTTCTACTAGCTTGCTGGTAGGGTGTGCGTGTGTGCGTGTGGCAAATAAATGAGTTTGGAATCTCCAAGTGAAAATGAGGCTTGGGCCTGGGCCGCTGTGTTGTTGCTGTCAATTAGCTGGTCGCTTGAAGATTCGATAGGCCCTATGCATAAAGCCCCCGCGTGTGTCGTCTTCCGGTTGATAAGTCAGCGACATAAATGAGGACATTTATTTTGTTTGTGGTGATGAAACTACATTGACCCTTGCACGCTTTCGACGTCGTGCAAAGAACGGTTTGTTAACGACAGTACGCTGCTCACTGCTCCCTCACTCAACACAAGACTAAGTACTAGTATGGGTTTCTGAAAATCAACCATTGAAAATAAATGTCAAAGCTATGTCAATTATTAGTCAAAGCTGTTTTGTTATGTGAATTTGAGCTTGCCTTTTGCCTTTTACAACACGGATGACCTCTTTCCATGCGTCGATGTTCTTTGTTGCAGCGTTTTGTTCGAAATAAATGGTTGAACAGAGGTATCGTACATGTACTCTAGTAAGTCTCGTTCGGGGGAGGAGGTGACTATCCCATGACTGAAAAGTGAGTACAATGTCATTACTACGGTAAGAGTAGAGGTCCGCTTTCAATTGCCGAAACCCGAAGATCTCGATGTTGTTCCCACTTGTCGAGCCCGTTCGCCATTGCATTTATTTTTGCCCTTCTTCGGTTCCCACCGCCCCTGTGTGCCGTACTGTGTTCTGTATTGCTCCGAATGATGTACTGTATGTAGTCTTCCGGCTTCCGGTTGATAATAAGTCTGAGCTCGATTCAGCGACATAATGACACCATCATTCATGCTTGATGTAAAACCTGCTGAATGGCTCCAGTAATGCTTTGACGTTGGTACACCGGTACCGTACCGTAAAGCAAAGAACGGCAGTACAGTCGTACTCAGTGTTGCTATTGTTATTGTACCTCCAACACCCCAGGGAAATGGGACTAAACGACCATGGCGCTTTGCCCTGAACACCAATGACACTAAAAGTCCAAACCAGGCCACCAGCAGCCAATCTGTGGCCAACACAACAGCTCCACAACAAACTATTTTACTTGTACAGTGTGTATGAATAACTCTACATTTCATGTACTCGAGTAGCCTCATACCGTATGGGTACTGGTACAGTGACAGGTACCACCGGCAGGTCTAGAACATTGTTGATCCAAGTTATTAAGTTTTTGTGATAACTGACAATGAAAATAGCCATTTTCCCATCTCCCAGGATTTCGTGCGAATGCATTGGTTTCTGAAAATCAACCATTTGAAAATGTGAATAAGTATGAGCTATTAATAGCTGGTTTGGTACGTGATGTTGAGCATTAGTGGTGTAGTGGTGCTACCGGTACCATAAACAGCTATGCATAAAATTTAAAAGATCTTGTTCGCTTTTGACTTTCCTTTATACCCTCATGCCATGACCGCTCGATGCCTCGTTGTTCTTTGTTGTTCGTAATGGTTTAACTGAGCCTTGTCGAAGACTGAGTGGAGTCCGCTTCAATTATTGTCATAACCGAAGGGAGTGCTCAGGGGAAGTTGTTCCAACTTCTTCTTCTTCTTCTTCTTCTTCTTGCTGCGAAGGCTCATTGTTTTCCTTCTTGCTTGGCACTTTCACCTTCCGGTAGATAATTGCACCCCTAGTAGTAGTACTCTGCGCTGTGCCTTGACATCCCATCCTGTGCCTCCAGTCTAAACCATCATAATTTAAGCTAAACTAAGATAAGCCAAGCTAGACGGCACTGTCTGGTCCCCCCTCTTCCTCCACCCTTAGCTTTCTCATCAAGACCATGGGTATCATATCCAACCCTATACCATGTAACAGGGGTAGCATGCTCTTGTTCCTGGTTCTTTCCACCATTGCATCTCTGCCCTCCAACTTGGTATTGGCATCAGAAGATAACGATGATAATGATGATAATGACAAGAAGATTTGGTTGCCTGGTGCCACTGGTTCTGGTCCTTTTGATGTGGCCAAAGTCTGGGCAACTGCCTTTGGTGCGTTGTATCCCGAGGCTCATGTGACATTGTCGAGTGTGGGATCGGGGGCCGCGCAAAAGGCTCTATGGGGAGACATTGACTGCCACGACAAACCTGTCCAAGCCATTTGTGGGGACCACCACGGCCATGATCATCATGATACCACCAATAATCAAGCAACCGTGTGGGGATTGGGAGATGCCCCCATCAAGGCTACTGTATATGAGGAACATCCCTTGCTGCAACTCCAGCAGTTTCCTGCCTGTGCCGGTGCCATGGCCATTGTCTATTCCAAAGAAGTCACGGAGAGTTTCAACGATGCGGATGCACAGCTCAAGATGGACTTTGACGTCTTATCAGGAATCTTTAACACGTCCATCATCTACTGGGATGATCCGCAGATACAAGCACTCAATCCCACGCTGACCATTCCACACGAACGCATCTCCAAATTGGTACGAGAAGACTCGTCGGGTCAGACATCCATAGTCACGGATGCGTTGGACTTTCAAGTGCCCAGTTGGCCCTCAGAAGCTGTCGGCACAGAACCAGATTGGCCACTAGGGCCACTGGCACATCCCGGGGACTTGACGGGACAATCACACTGTGTCGAGACATCCACTAATGAAACAACTTCCAACGTTATGGGAGGACGACCCTATAGTTTTGCTGCCGATGGCAAGCATGGCATTTCCTTGGGCTTGCTACGAGTACCGTATTCCATTGGATACTTGGAAATGGGATCGTTGGATCGTCTTACCGAATTCTTGCAGCAAGTGCAAATGGGAACTAATACTGCCGACGACAGCAGCAGCCAAGTCTTTGTCGATGCCAATCCAAAATCTCTGCTGGCCACCATGGATGGACTCTCGGATCAGCTCTCCCCCGACACTCTCGAACTCAATCTGGCACGAGCCGAAACACCTCCCGGCGGTTTCCCCATTGGAGGATATGCCTACTGGTACATTAAAAAGACTCCCGATGCCTACACGGATTGCTATCAAGCATGGCTCTTGTGCAAAATGGTCGAATGGTCCTACACGGATCCGCTGGCGGGAAAACTCGCACTCGATCATGGGTGGGTCGTTCCACCGGCAGCGGTGGCCAATCATACACTAGAACGACTCCAGGATGTCATGTGTTACAATATTGAAGTGTCACCTCCACAACTCATTTCGGCACTCTCCTACACTCCACCTCCCTACCGTTCCTCTTCCGAAAGTGATTTGCTCATGAGTACCACCATTTCCGTGGCGGCCGTTATTATTATCGTGATTCTCGGTCTGTGGCTATTGGATCGTCGGCGCAAACGACTGGGCGATGAGAATCTCTGGAGGATCAAGGAATCCGAACTCACATATGATGAACCTACACCCCAAATCATTGGACAGGGCAAGTTTGGCGTCGTGTTGCTGGCCGAATATCGAGGCACTCAAGTAGCTGTCAAGCGTGTCATTCCTCCTTCTTCTTCCAACAACAACGACAGCAACCACAACAACAATAGCAACCACAAGTCACGGAATCTTTCCTTGGGTCTTAGCATGCATGGACTGCCTCTAACCGCGGAAAGTAGTCATACTACAACCATGATGTCGAGTGGCGCACACTTCACGGGATTGAGCTCATCAGGATATGTTCCAAACAGAAACAACAATCAGAAGAAAACCTTGAACATGTATGACAATTTCAACAACTTTGTAGGGATCAATTGGGGATTAATGTCGGGATCCTTTGTCAAGGGAATTCTGACGGGAACAGCCTTTGCTTCTAGCCCCGCCGGAGGATCCCCACATAACAGTGGCAGTGGCAGTGGTGGTAACAGAGACTTTCGTAGAATGAAACAAGACTTTCGAGAGGAAGTCCGGTATCTGAGCAAGCTACGACATCCATGCGTCACCACGGTCATGGGTGCCGTCATGGGAGATAATCCCATGTTGGTCATGGAGTACATGCTCCGTGGGTCTCTCTATGTTCTTTTGCACAATGAGACCATGGTGATGGATGGGGACTTGGCCGTTCCAATCCTGCGAGATATCTCATCGGGATGTCGCTACCTTCATGCCGCAGAACCTTCGGCAATTATTCATTGTGACCTCAAGAGTGCCAACGTACGTAGTCGCATCACTACACACATATATACAGTCTCATGCACCCTCCCTCATCAGTTCCATCTCACTCACTCACTCGTTCTTCTTTGGTCGTTCCGGATGGTGCAGATTCTAGTGGATGACAAGTTTCGAGCCAAAGTTGCCGACTTTGGGCTCTCCCCCAAGGGCAACTATGGAACTGGGACGCCTTACTGGATGGCTCCTGTAAGTATCGTGCATTGTGTGGGCTTGTCTATCCAGCAAGTTGTTACCCCATCATCTCTAATGCTAAGTCTGCTTCCTTCCTTGGCTTTGGAACCAACAGGAACTGCTGCGAGGGGAGAGCGGTAATACAACTGCCACTGACGTGTACTCCTTCGGAATTATTCTTTTTGAAGTGTTTGCTCGCAAGGATCCCTACGAAGATGACATGGACCCAGCAGAGGTCATTCGATTGGTGGCAGACAAGTCAGTCAAGAAGCGCCCGCCAATCCCTCGCAGCATGCCCGAGAAAATCAAGGCTCTCATGTCGGATTGTTTGGAGGACGACGCCAGCCGTAGGCCAAGTTTCGAAGAGTTGGATACTCGGTTGAAGCGCATTGATGCCGAGTCGGCCACTGTCGTGCAACCCAACATTCGGAGCAGCCAGACCACACTGTTTGATATCTTTCCACGCCACATAGCGGAAACACTCCAACGGGGGCAGACTGTTGAGCCAGAACACAAGGACTGTGTGACCATCTTCTTCAGTGACATCGTAGGTGAGAGAAGGGCCAAGCTGCACAGGGCGACTTGATGAACTAGCTAGACTACGCCTCGACCAAATGACTTGCAAAGACTCGTACTGACACGATTTGCCGTTTGATTTCCACACAGGATTCACGACGATTTCGTCTGAGCTGGATCCTCGCAAAGTAGCAGACCTGCTTGACCGCCTCTACACAAAGCTGGATAATCTCTCAGACAAGCATGAGCTGTTTAAGGTATGCATCATTGACACCAAAGAAACTTCCATTCTATTTGCAGCAGCTCATAGCTCACTCTGTCTCTCTTCAAATCAACCAGGTCGAAACAATTGGGGATGCTTATATGGCTGTTACAAACCTCGTAAAGGATCAGGAAGATGATCACGCCAAACGGATTGCGATGTTCGCAATTGATGCAATTGCTGCTGCGAATGATACCTACATTGATGAGGAAGATCATAGCAAAGGCTGCGTGAACTTGCGAGTTGGTTTCCACTCAGGGCCAGTCGTAGCTGATGTGGTTGGCACCAGAAACCCTCGTTACTGCTTATTTGGGGACAGTGGTACGTCTTTTTGACCTTGCAAGTCTCTCTCTTTGCGATTTCCACCATCCTAGTAACTGACCATGGCGCTCCTTTGCTCTTTCGTGCCATCAACAGTGAATACTGCATCCAGAATGGAATCTCACTCCAAAGCCAATCGTATCAACTGTTCTCGAGCATCGGCCAAACTTTTGAAAACTCAATTTCCAGAGCTTCGGTTGAAGCCTCGTGGTCCCATTGCCATCAAAGGAAAGGGCGACATGCAGTGCTACTGGTGCGACGAGGACAGCTCTTCTCCAAATCTCAAGGAGATCCATGTTCCCCAAGTGACAAAGGTTCCCGTACCCTTGGAAGCTCTAAGTGAATGTTCCAACGAATTCGACCCTCACACGTCCTTTATAGGAGAGCTGTCCCGGTCATCAGGTGCCCACTGGCCCGGAGGCAGAGAGGATGCTGCAAGTACACATAGTGAGCTTACACCCGCATCAAACCCTGAGCATTGGATGGATGAAGAAGCACAGGAGTGCTCGTTTGCGCATGATGTCTCGTTTGCGCATGATGGCAATGATCACTACTTGCACGAACAAGAACCACCAAATGCCGAGGAGGGAGCACCAAAGAAAACTGGGCCATTCTCACAGCTCATTGGCCGCAGCCAAAAGTGGCTCCGCCTGGATGAGGAAGTTGCGCTTGCTGGAGATGAAGTATCTGTTTAGCTATCTAGATGGATACAGTTCGACATCCTGTCTGAGGTGAATACTTCGGCATTGGAATGTTGTTCGGGAGAATGGGATCGGGACTCGACGAGTTGCACCGAAGCGAAACGTTGGGAGGCATACAAGACATTGGATTCGATTCGAAACCTACGGTGGTCAATGACACTCTCAGCACGAGTCTGGCAACATGCAGCTAGTACCGTACGGTTGCTGAGCGTACCATTAGCGAGATCGACTGCAGCACGACTAGCATCTAGCGTATGCCACGGATGCGCCTTTGAAAGTCGCAGGATGCAGCCATCGCGACGGACAACAAACCCGTCGCGGCAAGCTGGCGTCTCATAATTTCACTTTTTTATAACTAACTTGTTTGCTATTTTAGTTACGAGCCAATTGCCGATCGACCGTGTTCACTTACTGAGTATGTTTCTACCACAACGTCAACAGCCACATAGCTTACGTAAAAGCCGAATGATTCGATAAACCATAATTACACATCGATAAAGGAACGAATGGCGTCACTGGCATTGTCCTGATACGTCTGATTGGAAAAGACTTTGTTGTAGTAGGTCGATTGATCCGCAATGGGCCCGGTGAGCCCCCGCTTGCTGGCGAAAAAGGTTCCCGACGGGTACGTCGTTCCAGTCGAGTCGAACAGCACGTCGACGTATCGTTTGGCCGACGTTTCCTTGGACTGTGCCATTCCAAAAAGGTACTGAAGAGGCAAGACCAGGTTCTTCATCAAGAACTTGGCCACCACGGGAAGTCCCTCTGGTTCAAAGATTCCTGTTCCGGCCGTGTGTCCTGGACTGACCGTGACGACTCGTAAATTCGGGTGTGCCCTGGCAACGGCTCCGACCCAAAGTGCCGCCAAGAACTTGGTACCCGCGTATGTAATGGACAAGTCTTGGGATTTGGTTCCATAAAAGGATCCATCGCACATGGACTGGAACTCTTGCTTGGAACCGGATTTGACCTTTGTGGACGGCAACATCATTCTCCATTCGCCTCGGGCCGCTTCGCTCCCGGCATAAATAGCCGACTTGGTCAGCTTGTTGGCTTGAACAAGGCCATCAAAGAGAACGACATGCCCCAGAAGATTGGTTGCAACCGTCATGGAAACAACGTTCTTGGTCAAGTTACCCGGGTTGCCTCCACCCAATCCACCGGCATTCATGACCAAGGATTCGACAGGAGTAGCCAGAGTCGCGACCGCCTTTTTGACGGATGCAATGTCCGAAAGGTCCATGAGGAGTACTTCAAATTTGGTCTTGTTGGATTTGTCAGCTTTGCCTGCCTTGGCCATGGCCTGCTTCAGGTCTTCCTGGGCCTGCTTTCCCTTGGCTTCACTGCGACAGCCAATGACGATACGTTCCACATTGAGAAGGGCCAATTGGCGGGCACATTCGAGTCCAAGTCCAGAGTTGGCGCCGGTGATCAAGACGGATTTGGGAGCAGCGGCAATCATTTTGATATTGTTGTTAGTTATTAGTTGTTGATGTCTGAGTTGTTGGTGTTTTGGTTTGTTGGAGCTTTTGATTTTGTGAGCAGAGTTGCAACCCCTCCAAAGAACGAGAGCAGCTTCACGCCGAGATCTCGCGAGACCTGCTGCGAGATCCAAAAGGAGAACACGAGACCAGGCTGGCGTTTGCCAAAAAGAGCCTCGTGAGATTTAAGGCCAGTTGAACCTCCAATACATGTAAAGCAAAACTTCATGGCTCCGACCTTCGACGGCAACAACACAAACACAAAATCGAGATTCGATCGAGACCATTCAAGTTTTGTTCTGGAAAGGATCGACCATGGGCAAGCGACCAGCCGAAAAGGACAGTAGTCCCCGCCGCCGAGAAGATGCCAACCATGAGGATGTAGTAGAAGCCAACAAAGAAGCCGCACATGGAGCTGATGTGGACCCAGTGACTCGAGATGTGCTTTCTTTGACACAAAGGGAACTGGATGATCTTCCACCGTCAGAGCAACATCAAGTAGTAGTCGATCTCTATGGCCTTGATGGTGATGGTAATACCGCGGAAGACTCATCACCTGCGTTTGTGGATCAAAAGTTGGAGGAATTGGAAGCCGTGTTGACTCAAATTCCTGACAAGCGCAAAATGGCGTACAATCAGGCTCTGACCATGAATGCAGCCTATGTGACGTCGAGAGACTTTCGACTCATGTTTCTAAGAGCCGATCACTTCCAGCCATGGCCGGCCGCCCACCGTCTCTTGACCCATTTGGAGCTCAAACTAGAATTGTTTGGACCCGACTTGTTGTGTCAGGAAGAGATTACGCAGGACGATTTGGATCCAACTTCGCTCCAAGTCTTGTACCAAACTTGGTTTGTCGATTTGCCCGTGCGGGATCGACTGCCATGCCATGCCCGTCCTCAATCGAATGCGCGTCTTGTTTTATACACTGGGAGTGGCGGCACGAGATTTGGAAACCCAAATTCAGGGTAGAGTCTACATTATTTGGGTGGCTGGGAGTTTGGGCAAGGCAGCGGACTTATGGAAGATTTCCAACCTGCAAGCCGGAGCACACATTCGTCATCAAGGCATTCACATGTGTATTGACCAAGAAAGTAGTGGACGCGTTAGTACTCCGCTAGTGAGTGTGGCACAAATGGCCATGAATGCATTTCTTCGGGTACGAGTCCGCAGGCATGTCGGCACTCCCTCCGAACTCAAGTTCTCCTTGATGACCTATGGGATCCCCACAGAGTTCATTCCCATTTCCAATGAGGGAGAATTTGCGCATCAGTTGCATAGAGATCGTTGGAATAGAATCCGAAACAATGAGAGACTTCAGAGACAGCATCAACAACTCTTGTTGAAACAGCATCATCATCAGCAGCAGTCTCCATCCATCACAACCGCAAATGCAGATGATGAGAAAGCTCCCTCTACCACCAAACCTGTCCACAACAAAAACGACAGCAAGGAAAACACAGTGGCTCCTCCTCCTGTGATGTTGATGAAAGTTGTCAATACACCCTCCAACAATGATATCCTCATGGGGAAAGGAAGAGGCATCCAGAACCATTGTGGCAACATTCGCTTTCGAAAACTCATTGACCAACACCGACCACACTATGACAATGCCAACAACAATAAAGCCAAAAAGACGGAAATTGCACAAGAAGTGGTCCGGATTGTGACACAGGACTGGCAAGGACGGTTCTTGAAAGAACACCACAAACTTGGTTGGGTCCCAGTAGAGGATGACTCTGCGGCGAGGAGAAAAGTCAGTTCTTGCTTTCGAGATGCCAGGAAACGGGAGTTGTGGCAGTTACCAACAGCAGAAACAGCAGCACACAACAGCAACAACAGCAACAACCACAATCAGATGGATACAGAGGCTGCTGGACAAGACAATCAAAGTCATGATGACCTGGGTGCTGTTACCAATGAATGTTCCGAGCAGAGTGGCACAACTGGTACGGCAGCAGCACCTGCAGACAAGGTCGTCGAAGACGAAGATGATGATCTCTTGGAAAGTACATTGCTGGATTCCTTGCAAAACGAACATGATGATCTCAGCGGAATCTTGGATAGTGCACTATTGCTGGATTCCACGCTGGAAGAGTTTGAGGATCAGTTCATTCATTTGCTCATGCCCGAGGTGTCATAATAAAAAACACAACTAACTAAGATGAAGAAACTAGATATTGATGACGCGACAACGGTGAATGCTTGCGGAGTGTAGGCAAAGGAGGGAGCTCGAAACTCATTCTCGCGTTCTGATGAGGGCTTTTGTAGATTTGTGTGTAGCTATCTAGCTATCTAGCTAGTAGCCTGCTCCCCACAAGGCAGAAGGCTCGTAGCTTGATCAGGCAGCGACAAAGAGGAGGCTAAGTTCTATGGCATGTAAGAATGCTATCTATCTATCTATCTATCAATCTATCAATCCGCAACTTGGTAAAAGTACACAGAGACTGGAATTGCTTCCTATAGCTATGCACGGTACGACGTCCAATGACTGTTTGTTTTTCTCTAGTACTGTATACATGTTGTATAATATTTATAATCTTGTTGCTTGTGATGGCTGGAACTGTGGTACTATTCTTGAATGAGTTGCAACACATAGTTTCCTTCCTTCCATGTATAACTCCAACCCCCCGCATCGTGTTTGACCCAGTATTTTCCAATGCGATCTTGCGAGGTGACAATATCGCCTCGTTTCAGAGTGGCCACGACATTGTCGGTTTGCTGCGGACCTCCGGAAATGGAGGAATGAACATGAAGCTCCGATGCCAAAATGACGTAGCGACGGCCAATGCCTCTCTTCAATTCGTCTTGTCTTGCTTTCAGAGATGCTTGCAGCGACGTATTCTCTTTGCACGCTGGTTCGAAACTGGCCCATTGACCAAAGTCCACTTGTACTTGATTATTATTATTACTGGTACTCATACTGCTCGTGCCGGTACTGTTCGAGACCATGGCCAGCAATTGACTACTGCTAGCAGTTCTCATTCCAACCACTGAAGTCACACAAGAAGGAGCAAATCCATCCACCACCACCAAAGTCATCATCATCACCACCATCATCACCATCATCACTAGCATTGGAGGAACCATCTTGCTCATCTTCAGTTTCAGTTTTCTTCTATACCAATGGAGTAATTATTTCTATGGCTGAGAGTTAGTTACTCCAACCAAAATGTAAAGAAAGAACAATCAATCAATCAATCACTCACTGACTGCAGATGGGATGAGAAGCGTTGAAAGAAGAAAAAAATAAATGCCCGAAGAAAGCAGAATGCCAAAAGACACCAATTTCTTTCCGCTCCAAGAGCAATAGTTTAAGAGGAACAGGTGCCGCCATGGTCCCGGCATTGTCATTGGTCCATCGCAGACGCGTCGATGAATGATGCTTCCGCGAGCTCGGAATTCTTGTCCGAGTTTCGGACAAAAAAGAACAGAATCGTATAAGACAACAGAAATGCTGAAATTACAATTCTGACGTGATGGCGGCCTCATTTCTCTGGGGAGCGCGTCGTCGAGTTTAGTCGAGTCAAGTCATGCAGTCATTGAAAGGCAATTGACCCAACGGAGGAGGCGACGATAATGTACACAGACTTGGTCGTTCGTACAATCAAAGCTAGCTAGCATAGAATTAGACGGGTTATTAAATATTAGTAATCGAATTGGTAGTAACCAAATAGAACATTGCGGTAATAGCAACCTAGCTACTATACCGGTACCGGTAGCCTGACATTGGTTCCCATTCACATTATCGCTGCCACAAGATACCGGTGCATGTACACATACATGTACCTTATACTATCACTCAAGTACGGTGCTGCGCATACCTGTAGCATCTCTATAATATTCCAACGCGCTCAGCAAAAAATCGCTGATTGATATTATTTAGCTTTCTCACCTAATTACTCAATTTAGTTAGACATTTACCTCGGCAGTCTTGCTGCCAGAGCCCTCAACCCCTTTAATTGTTTTTCCTGCTACGGTGGTCCCTGCAGGTATAAGGGTAGGGGTAGAATACAAATAAGTCAGCAAAAACTAAATAAGTATCCTAGGATGGTGCTTTTAAACCAGCTAAAGCTATTTACATGCATCCTAGTAGGGGGATCTGCTCCTACCAGGAAAAACTCTAAAGCTAGTGAAAGCTATATAACTAGTATTCTAGCTAGCTGGGGGTATCTGCTTCTAGCTTGCTATGGGAATCTGCTTCTAGCTAGGGGGGATCTGCTTCTAGCTAGCTAAGCGCAAGTTA